TACACAGCATTGTTACAGTCAGAAATCACTCAACAGATGGTGTAATACCACACTCTTTTAAAGCATTCTTACAATCAGTAATCACTCAACAGATGGTGTAATACCACACTCTTTTAAAGCATTCTTACAATCAGTAATCACTCAACAGATGGTGTAATACCACACTCTTTTAAAGCATTCTTACAATCAGTAATCACTCAATAACAAGTGTAATACCAAACTCTTTTAAAGCATTCTTACAATCAGTAATCACTCAATAACAAGTGTAATACCAAACTCTTTTAAAGCATTCTTACAATCAGTAATCACTCAACAGATGGTGTAGTACCACACTCTTTTAAAGCATTCTTACTTGAGTGATTACTGATTTAATTTCTGACTGTAACAATGCTTTGTAAGAATGTGGTATTACACTTGTTATTGAGTGATTTCTGACTGTAACAATGCTTTGTAAAAGTGTGGTATTACACTTGTTATTGAGTGATTTCTGACTGTAACAATGCTTTGTAAAAGTGTGGTATTACACTTGTTATTGAGTGATTTCTGACTGTAACAATGCTTTGTAAAAATGTGGTATTACACTTGTAATTGGGTGATTTCTGATTGTAACAATGCTTTGTAAGAATGTGGTATTACACTTGTTATTGAGTGATTTCTGACTGTAACAATGCTTTGTAAGAATGTGGTATTACACTTGTTACTCAATAACAAGTGTAATACCACATTTTTACAAAGCATTGTTACAGTCAGAAATCACTCAATAACAAGTGTAATACCACATTATTACAAAGCATTGTTACAGTCAGAAATCACTCAATAACAAGTGTAATACCACATTCTTACAAAGCGTGCAACGATCCAAAATGCATGAACAACTGGTACAAGTTAAAATGTTCATATTTGGAGGTGTATATGGTGAATTATCTTCAAAACATAGCTACGAATATTTAGTATGAAACAGAAATATTATTGTATTAATAAAATAGTTGTGTAACAAGTAGTTCTAGTTCTAATATCACTTATAATCATTTATAAAAAAAAACTTTCTAGTTTTAGTATCGGTAAGGAAGGGTTGGGTTGAAGTGTCAGTTGGAAAGAGTTGTGGTATCGAAAAGAGCTGTAAAATGAGTTTGTATAGTTGTAGTAGCAGTAAGGAAGGGTTGGGTTGAAGTGTCAGTTGGAAAGAGTTGTGGTATCGAAAAGAGCTGTAAAATGAGTTTGTATAGTTGTAGTAGCAGTAAGGAGTTGAAGATATATGTATATCATAGTATCAAGAAGAAAGATTTGTAACTGTACTGTCCACAGTTGAGGGATGCATCAAACCTCTACGTCAAAGATGGTATCTTGAATTTTACTTTTGGTGAAAAAGAAATCTGTGACGTACTTCTGGTCATTGAACAGTTGGGTCGCTGTATATTATAATACTTTAGGCGTAATGTCATCATATTATTCACGCATCTAAATTAATTTACGTTAACTATACGATGAATTGAAATCCCCATAAATCTTATATACGCATCATTATTATAAGGGGCCTAACTATTTCTCTGATTTGCTGATCCAATCTGGGCTCGTGAGCCTTGAATAAGCGACACTGCAGTCCACAGCAGAGGGTATGGCCAAACAGAGGATGTATTAGGCCTCTACGTCACAGATGATATTTTCAATTTGGTTTTGGGGGGAAAGAAAGAAAACTGGTAACATGCGAATAATTATAATATCAGTTAGATAAACTTATAGTATCAGCTGGAAAAAGTTGTTGTAATTGTAATATCAGTTGTAAAATTATAGTTGTAGCAACAGTTGAGTTACAATATCAGTACAAAAAAAAGAGTTAAAGTTTGTTATAACTTTTCTAATATATGTAACGGTTAATATATATGTGTGTGGTGTTACCTGAACTGTAGCCCCATTTTTCTCACAAACATCAGAAAAAAAAAGACTTGGCTAATCACGTACTGATACGACACGTGGGTTGACACGTAAAGTGTTCTACTTTTTTTGGAGTAATTCCTTGAATACAACAGACTGGCATGTTTATTTTCAATTCACTGAAAATTTTATTGTTTCTGAGTTACTAAATCTGTAATCAACTTGTTTGTTTTTTTCATCCACTCAATCTACCATACAAGCTCACTTATGAGCGTCAGAAAGGATTGAACAAAACAATAAATGTATCTGTTAAAGACGGAGTTAATATCGCAGTTTTTATTCTTGTTTCTTTGAAAACGACTAACTTAATAAACCTTAATCATTAAGAATTTCGAATAGATCTAAAACCATAATGTTAAAATACATGACCACAATTATCATGTGTTGAAGGCAATATAAAACAAATACGTTAAATGTAACATATAACCACACTTGTTTTAATAGTCTAAAAACTGCTTCAACAAACTTTAGATCTGTGTTTTAGTATGTGGCCAACGAAAGGGATGTTTATGTTAAACAGGTACTATGTAACCAATGAAAGACATGTTTATGTCAGACAGTTATCATGTGACCAATGAAAGACATGTTCAAGTTAAACAGGTACTATGTGACCAATGAAAGAGATGTTTATGTTAGACAATTATCATGTGACCAACGAAAGACACGTTCAAGTTAAACAGGTACTATGTGACCAATGAAAGAGATGTTTAAGTTAGACAAGTACTATGTAACCAATGAAAGACATGTTTATGTTAGACAATTATCATGTGACCAATGAAAGACATGTTCAAGTTAAACAGGTACTATGTGACCAATGAAAGAGATGTTTATGTTAAACAGGTACTTTGTAACCAATGAAAGAGATGTTTAAGTTAGACAAGTACTGGTGACCAATGAAAAACGTGTTTACGTTACTTCAGAAATCATTAAATAAGAAACAAACCAGCTTTAATCAATTAACTACCACCCTAGATAAACACATTAGTAGCATCAATGTCACTATCAAATATAGTTTCTGTGTGGTGAGAACAAGACAACTAAAACAACATTCATTCTATGTAGAATGGTTAATCTTATATTATGTACCTGCTAATATTAGAAAATTCCTTGTAGAATGGTTAATCTCATATTATGTACCTGCTAATATTAGAACATTCCTTGTAGAATGGTTAATCTTATATTATGTACCTGCTAATATTAGAACATTCCACGTAGAATGGTTAATCTTATATTGTGTACCTGCTAATATTAGAACATTCCTTGTAGAATGGTTAATCTTATATTATGTACCTGCTAATATTAGAACATTCCTTGTATAATGGTTAAATTTATATTGTGTACCTGCTAATATTAGAACATTCCTTGTAGAATGGTTAATCTTATATTGTGTACTGCTAATATTAAAACATTCCTTGTAGAATGGTTAATCTTATATTGTGTACCTTAAGATTAACCATTCTACAAGGAATGTTCTAATATTAGCAGGTACACAATATAAGATTAACCATTCTACAAGGAATGTTCTAATATTAGCTATTATGTACCTGCTAATATTAGAACATTCCTTGTAGAATGGTTAATCTTATATTGTGTACCTGCTAATATTAGAACATTCCTTGTAGAATGGTTAATCTTATATTGTGTATTATTTGATTGTATTACACATCTCTCTCTAAGGTTGAAAGTCAGTGTAAGTCAGTGAAGAACCTGAGTTGTTAAGTAATGACTGATTCTATTATACATATCTCTCTAAGGTTGAAAGTCAGTGAAGAACCTGAGTTTTCAAGTAATGACTGATTCTATTATACATCTCTCTCCCTAAGGTTGAAAGTCAGGATACAAGCATGTTATGTAAAACCATGATCCAGGGGTTACGAGATGAAAATGTGGAAGAAAGCAGTGGATCAGAAATTATGTTGATCAAGTTGAAGATGAGTCAGAAGAAGAAAGTGGTGTTTCAATGTAGCTTGAATCTGAATCAACGCCACTGAGACGGCAGTGAGGAAATGATAAAGATTCTGGCTTCTAGTCAGCAGAAAGTGACGTTTCATTGTAGGTTGAATCTGAATCAACACCACTGAGACGGCAGTGAGGAAATGATAAAGATTCTGGCTTCTAGTCAGCAGAAAGTGATGTTTCATTGTAGGTTGAATCTGAATCAACGCCACTGAGACGGCAGTGAGGAAATGATAAAGATTCTGGCTTCTAGTCAGCAGAAAGTGATGTTTCATTGTAGGTTGAATCTGAATCAACGCCACTGAGACGGCAGTGAGGAAATGATAAAGATTCTGGCTTCTAGTCAGCAACATCCGTAATAAAGTGACGTAAAGATCGGGCGTTGATAAACTCTTTGTTAGCTAGTTCAAAAACAAGAAATTGCTTTTAGGCGGTGGGTACTGCAGGTGGTACAAGTAAGGTGAAAACTGATGTGGTATATAATGTTAAAACAAGACAAAAAACAAGACTTTGTGTGTGAACGGAGATAACATCGCACGCGACCGTAAGTGGACCAGACTGTAATAGGTTATTGCGCAGAAAATTGTGTCACTAGTAAAAAATCTTCCTCACTTTTAGATATAAAAGGGCAGATTGTCGTTGGGCTAAATTCACAACTCAGGTTCATTTCCAAGTTTTGTTAGCTGAAGAAGTTTATCATGAAGATTGCGGTAAGTACCCCAGACCGTAATTCTATTAGTTGTCATTGTTTATAATAGTGCATAATAGTGTCATACATTAAATATATGAAAAGTAGCCTTTATTTATACACTAAATA